GATGTGTGGTTGTGCACGTCTGCTTCTGCATTTGCATCTGCCCCCGCAGGTCCAGGAGAAGACAGCACGGAGCGAGCGGGAATTGGAGCAGACCCAAGCGGATCTAAAGCGAGTACAGGAGCTTTACTCGCGGATGGAGAGAGAAAACCAAGCACTGCGGCAGCAGCAAGCACTCTCAGGCCCAGACAGAGGAGGAGGCGGAGGAGGAGGAGTGGGAGCAGGGAGAAACGGAGAGCAAGGAGCAGCTGGGGCTTTGGCGGTGCAATCCCCGCAGCAAAGCGGGCTGGCCCCGAACCTGAGCTTCGGATCGCCGAGCCAGAGCCACGGGTCGCCGAGCCAGAGGCTCGGGTCGCCAGACTCTCCTGTCCCGTTGGCGCTCACCCCGGCGAGTGGGAACGGCGGCAGAGGGGGTGTGGCGGGGATGTCTCCGCTGGGGAGCGTGTCTGGTGAAGGAGGAGACAGGCGGTTCTATCGCATGCAGTCTGAACGGTTCTCGGTGAGTGGAAAGGGCAGCAGGGGGGTTGTGGTGGGATGGCAGAAGAGGGGGAGTGGCGGGATGTCGTCGCTGGGAAGTGGTTCAGGGGAAGGTGGAGAGAGCAGGCGGTTCTATCGCACGCAGTCTGAACGGCACTCCGTGAGTTGGAATGCCAGCAGGGCACCCCTGCCCTGGGAGAGCGTGCTTTTGAGGCGCCTCGAACCCCTGCGAGTGGGAACGGCGGCAGAGGGGGTATGGCGGGGATGTCGCCGCTGGGAAGTGTGTCTGGGGAAGGAGGAGACAGGCGGTTCTATCGCATGCAGTCCGAGCGGCACTCGGTGAGTGGAAAGCAGGAAAGATGGGTTGAAAAAAGATAGTTCTATCAGGCCGAAAGCATACAGCAACTTGTTCTTTGCTCACCCTCCCTCCTTACCTCCTTTCCCACTCTTCCTTGCCCTGCTGCCGTGATCACAGCAGCTGTCAAGAGAGGACAGGTGGGCTGCGGAGGCCTTACTTAGGCCCACCTGTCCTCTCTTGACAGCTCCTCCTTTCCCCCTCTTTCTTGCCCTGCTGCCCTGATTACAGCAGGAGCAGGAGGCACTACTGAAGGCCCTCTCAGCCACGAGTCTCGGCTACAGCAACAAGCGGCCCCTAGCCGCCGGCATAGTCTACAAATGCCTACTGCACTGGCGGGCATTTGAAGCCAAAATATGAGAGCACATTTCCCCCCTTGCTCACCCTTCCTCTCACTGCTCCTTCCCTCCTCTCCTCTCTCCCTTGTCCTGCTGGTCTGATCACAGCAAGAGCAGGAAACACTGCTAAAGGCCCTCTCAGCCACGAGCCTAGGCTACAGCAACAAGCGCCCCCTCGCCGCCTGCATAGTCTACAACTGCCTCCTGCACTGGCGTGCATTTGAAGCCAAAATAACATAGCACCTTTCCCCCCTTACTCACCCTTCCCCTCTCTGCTCCTACCACCCTCCATCCCTCCTCTCGTCTCCCCCCGCTCCTTTACCCTGGTTCCCCAATCACAGCAAGAGCAGGAAACACTGCTAAAGGCCCTCTCAGCCACGAGCCTAGGCTACAGCAACAAGCGCCCCCTCGCCGCCTGCATAGTCTACAAGTGCCTCCTGCACTGGCGGGCATTTGAGGCAGAGCGAACGAGCATCTTCGACCGAATCAACCGCACCATCAGATCAGCTGTTGAGGAGGATGATAAGGCGCTGGCAGCACTGGGGAGTGGAGGGGTGCTGAGCGGTGGAGGGGGGTTGGGAGGGAAGAGCATGGGGCGGCTGGCGTATTGGTTATCCAACACTTCGTGTCTGCTGGTACTGCTGCAGCGGACGCTCAAGGCCAGTGGGGGGGGGCAGGCTGGGCCGGGAGGGAGGAGGAGAGGTGCGCAAGGGGGGCGGACTAGTGGGAGGATGGCTCAGATGGGCCCTCAAATGGGATATCCGCCGTCCCCCCCATTGCCGGATGGGTCAAGCTCGCTGAAGCTGGTAGATGCTAAGTACCCCGCTCTGCTGTTCCGGCAGCAGCTGACAGCGTATGTGGAGAAGGTGTTTGGGCTGATCCGAGACAACCTGAAGCGGGACATTTCGCCCATCCTGGGGCAGTGCATTCAGGTGGGTGTGATAAGCTTATTGGGGGGCACTTGGATGGGGGTGGGTGGGGGGGATGGGGGCGCAGCTGGGTTGCTGCTGTTCCGGCAGCAACTGACAGCGTATGTGGAGAAGGTGTTTGGGCTGATCAGAGATAACCTGAAGCGAGACATCTTGCCCATCTTGGGGCAGTGCATTCAGGTGGGGTTGGAAATAACTAGTGGGCGATTGGATGGGTCGATACAAGGTTATTTGAGAGCATTTCGGTGGGAGGGCAGTGGGCATAGGGGATTGGGGCTGCCAGTGCTTCCAGGTAAGACGGATGACTCTGAGCAGTCCACTTATATATGCACATTCTGGTGACTTTTGAGTCGACTGAAAAGACTGTTGAGTCGACTCAAAAGGCTGCCAGTGCTTCCAGGTAAGACGGATGACTCTGGGCAGTTCACTTATATATGCACATTCTCTTCCCACTCCTCTTCCTCCCCACCCCCTCCCACCACTCACTCTCCCCTTTCCACCACCCTCAACCAGGCCCCTCGTGTCTCCCGCTCCTCATACGGCCGGCAATCCTCGTCTCCTAGCAGCGCAGCAGGCAGCGGCCCCGCGTCATCATCCCCACCAAGCCCGTGGCATGCCATCATTGCGTCGCTCTCCTCGCTGCTCGCGACGCTCAAGGGCAACCACGTGGCGCCGTTCCTCATCCGGAAGATGTTTGCTCAGGTCTTCTCCTTCATCAACGTTCAGCTTTTCAACAGGTGAGGGGTGGAGGGAGGGAGGGAAGCATGTCACTGAAAGAATGGAAGAGATAGGGTGTTGAAACAGCAGACAGCGGGCCGCCATCATCCTCCTTCATCAATGTTCAGCTCTTTAGCAGGTGGGGGGTGGTGTGGTGGGAGGGAGAGGGTGATGCTAAAGCTTTAAATGCACCTCTTGGCTGTTGATTAGAAAGATGTACGTTGATAAACGTACAGCTATTTTTGAGGCGCCTAAAAAATGTACGTTGATGAACGTACAGCTCTTCAACAGGTGAGCGCGGTGGGGGGGTTGGATGAGGGCGTATGGGGGAGATACAAGGGTGTGTTTTGGGACGTCTCTCAAAGCATGTGGTTACTCATCCGGAAAATATTAGCCCATGTCTTCGCCTTCATCAGCGTCTAGCTGTTCAACAGGTGGGTGAAGGAACAGGACCAAATCTTTCTAATTTTTCTTCAGCTTCATCCGTCGTGAGTTTAAGGTTCAAATGAGTGGTGCTCATTGAGTTACAGAGATTACGTGAAAGTGGGCCTGCAAGAATACAGTTTTCTCTCTCTCCCCCTTTCGTCCACCTTTGCATCAGCTTACTACCCTGTTGTGAGTGCGGGCTGCTGGGCAACAGGGAGTATGTGAAGGCGGGGCTGCAGGAGGTGTGGCGTCCCTTTCCCACTCCTGTGCGTCAACTCTAACTCCTCCTCCAATTCTCCTCCCCTTTACCCTCCCCTGTCCCCCTAACCCCCTTTTCCACCCAGCTTGCTGCTCCGCCGTGAGTGCTGCTCGTTGAGCAACGGGGAGTATGTGAAGGCGGGGTTGCAGGAGGTGCAGCAGTGGATGCGGGAGGCAGGGGAGGAGAGCATGGGGCGCGCGTGGGAGGAGCTGAGGAGTATCACTCAGGCTGTGGGGTTTCTGGTGAGTGATTGAGTGCGAGAATGATAAGTGACTGAGTGATGGAGTGGACGAGTGACTGAGTTACTGAGTGAGTGGGTGATGGCACGGCTATAGGAGAAGCTAGAAGAGCGTGTAGAAAAACATGTGAAGGTACCTCAGAAATAAACTCTTTGCCTTGCCTCTCTCCCACTGCCTCCCCTCCCCTCCCCCCCTCACCCCCCCAGGTGCTGCACCAGAAGCCAAAGTAGAGTCTCGAGGAGATAGTGAGCACACAATTTTCCGAGACTCTACTTCTGAGTCACACCAACCTTACCCATAAGGTTGGTGCGAAGAGTAAGTGAGTCGACCAGATGTGTCCATGGCCCTCGACTTCTGAGTCGACTCAGAATCTAATCTCCTCTTACTTCCCTCTCCCACCCACTGCGCTCCTGCAACTCACCCCCATTCCCCCCACAGGTGCTGCACCAGAAGCCAAAGGAGACTCTAGAGGAGATTGTGACGACTCTCTGTCCGTCGCTCGAGTCAACTCCGAAGTCAAGAATACACTGCCATTCCCGTCCTACACCCCCGTCCCCTCTTCCCCCCCGCTCCCCTCAACCCGCCACCCCAGGTGCTGCACCAGAAGCCCAAGAAGAGCCTGGAGGAGATTGTCACCCCTCTCTGCCTGTCGCTGTCGAGGCATCGCAACGACATACTGGGATGGAAAGTATGGCAGCATGCTCTCATCTCTGCCTCCTACCCTGTTCCCCCCACCCCAGGTGAAGCACCAGAAGCCGAAGAAGAGCCTGGAGGAAATGTTTACGACTCTGTGCCCGTCGTTGTCGACGCAGCAGCTGTATCGCATCGCCACCATGTACTGGGATGGCAAGTATGGCAACATGCTCTCATCTCTGCCTCGTACCCCGGTTTCCCCCCCAGGTGCTGCACCAGAAGCCCAAGAAAAGTTTGGAGGAGATTGTCACCACTCTCTGCCCGTCACTGTCGACGCAGCAGCTGTATCGCATCGCCACCATGTACTGGGATGGCAAGTAACGGCACCCAGAGTTTTGAGCGTCCCATAACACAGCACACACACCGTCAGCGTAGCTTCTGCTGCTCCTCAAACATGCTTTCCTTGCTGCCTCTCCCCCCATTCCCCGCCCCCACAGGTGCTGCACCAGAAGCCTAAAAAGAGTCTGGAAGAGATCGTGACAACTCTCTGTCCGTCGCTGTCAACGCAGCAGCTGTATCGCATCGCAACCATGTACTGGGATGGCAAGTACGGCACACACACCGTCAGCACGCAGGTCATTCAGATGATGCGCGCACGAATGAGCGAGGAGGCGAGGAGCCCGGCTGCTACTGGCTCGTTTCTGCTGGATGATGACTCGAGGTGAGAAGAGGGGAAGTGATGGGGGTCGTGGTGTTAGGAGGGGTGGTTGTCTTTCACATGATATGCCTGCACATTACCAAGGAGGTGAGGAGGCGAAGTCCCCTGCTACCACCAGTTATTTCTCTTGGATGACGACTCGAGGTAAGAAGAGGGGGGATGATTCGAGGTGAGGAGGAGGGCTGGTGGGTGGGGTGAGGGATGTGATTGCTGATGCGTAAAGAAGGAGCCAAGTACGCCACACTGTCAGCACGCAGGTCATTCGAAAGTGCGAGCCTGCATGAGAGAGAAGGGAGTTTTTGAGAAGGCGAGAATTCTCAAAAACTCCGAGCCGGCACAAGAGAGAAGGGAGAGCAGGAGGCGCGGTGAGAATTTTCAAAAACTCCGAGCTTGCACGAGAGAGGAGGCGAGAACCAGTGCTGCCACCGGCTCATTTCTGTTTTTTTCGTACGCGCGCGTGCACAGTGCACACAAACACACACAGTCCCTGACCTCTTGTAGTGAGTCGATTTTTGAGTCAACTAAAAAATCGATCCAAACACACGCACAGTCCCTGACCTCTTGTAGCCCATGCCCTCCCCTCTCCTCTTTCTTCCTCCTCTCACCAACCCTCCCACCCTTCACCCTCCCCGTTTTCGTATCACCACACAGTATCCCATTCAGCCCTGGCGACTTCGCTTGCAGCATGGAGGCCATTGACATTGAGGTGCCTCAAAATTGCAAGACATGAGACGACTTTTGAGGCGCCTCAAAAGTGCAAGACATGAGACGACTTTTGAGGCGCCTCAAAAGTGCAAGACATGAGACGACTTTTGAGGCGCCTCAAAAGTGCAAGACATGAGACGACTTTTGAGGCGCCTCAACTTCGCTTGCAGCATGGAGGCCATTGACATTGCAGCATGGAGGCCATTGACATTCCAGCATGGAGGCCATTGACATTGCAGCATGGAGGCCATTGACATTCCAGCATGGAGGCCATTGACATTGCAGTGCTGCTGCCGGTCGGTTCCGCCTCCTCTTGTGGCTCATACCCTCCCCTCTTTCCACCCCCTCCCCTCCCCCCCACACCCACACAGTATCCCATTCGGCCCGGATGACTTTGCTCGCAGCATGGAGGCCATAGGCATTGCATGCTGCCTATTCCTCTTCCACATTCCCTTCTCTCCGCTCCCACCCCCTCCCCCCTTCGTGCCATCACCCAGTATTCCGTTTGGCCCTGACGACTTTGCGCGCAGCATGTAAGGTATTGACATTGCAGTGCTCCCGGCGCCGCCTCCTCTTGTGGATCACACCCTCCCTTCTTTCATCCCCCCCTACCCCACACCCATGCAGTATCCCCTTTGGTCCGGACGACTTTGCTCGCAGCATGGAGGGCATTGACATTGCAGTATTGCCGGTGTCCCTTCCCCTCAGAAATAAGTTTGAAGTTGACTAATAATGTCTCCCCCACCCTCTCCCGTGTCACGTGCAGTATCCCCTTCGGTCCGGACGATTTTGCGCGCAGCATGGAGGGCATTGACATTGCAGTGCTGCCGGTGCCGCCTCCCCTCAGGGATAACCCCGCCTTCCACTTCCTCTCCTCGCGCGCTTAACTCCAGCCTTCTACCCCCTCACATCCCAACCTCAACACCTGCCTTCTAACACCCCATCTCACAGCTTGAGCCCTCTCCCAACTTCCCTCAGAGATAATCCCTCATTTCACTTCCTCTCCTCATGCGCTCACATCACACCCTCTAACACCTGCCTGCTAACACCCCATCTCACAGCTTGAATCGTTTTCCACCTTCCCTCAGAGATAACTCCAGCCTTCTACTCCCCCGCATCACACCCTCAACACCTGCCTCCTAACACCCCATCTCACATCTCGGACCTGGATGTGAGCCTTTCACCCCTATCCGCCTCCCTTCAGAAACAACCCCGCCTTCCGTTCCCTCACATCACTTCCTTAGCACCAACCTTCCAACACTCCAATTCCCATAACCGATGCCACCTTCTTACCCCTTTGAGGCACCTCAAAACTCCCTGAAAAGCACCTTATAACAGTCCCTCGCATCACGGCCTAACACCGACCGCCCAGCGCTCCATTCCCCGACTCCAACCTGGATATGGCCTTTTCACCCTTTCTGCCTCCTCGATTTGAAGTCACAGATGAATTCAGCTGGGTGCCATCCTTACCGAAGTAATGTCCCCGCTCGAGTGAATTACCCTCTTCTGCAGCGGCGTTCCGGCACTCTCCTGACCCTACTGATTTACTGACTGCCTTCTAAAAACCGTAGACTATAGGGGGAACCGAGTGAACTGCGTGTAGTACCGTATCGCGTATCACAATCATACGCGGTGTTTTGTGTATAACCGGCAATTTGTTTGAATGTATAGTATTTTCTCATTTTCCTGTGTCTTTCAATCACATGGGGGTGTATCCTGAATATAAAAATGTTCAAGTCCATAAATGTTACCATGAGATCTCTACTCCCTGGATGTGTGCAAGGCACGTGCTGATGCAGTTCTCAATCTATGCAAAAAAGAGTGTCAAAGGCAAGGATAAACTCGTGGTTAAACGTATCCCTACAGATATTCGAATAAGGAACCATATATATTTATATATTTATATAACGGGCATTTACCCTGAGGAGTATTTACTGTTGCGTGCACGCGTCGGGGTGGATCGCCTTCGGTGGAAAACTGGGTTGCAGTGCTGACGCGACTGGTTCGCACCAATATTTCCCAACCAACTGGATCAACAGTTTTGGAGCAGAAGTACTGTATGGATTGAAGAGAAGCGGCTCGTTGACATTTTGGACTGCGCAATGTTGTCGCAGGAGCAGCTGGTGCAGCACCCAAGTTCACGCATCCAATTGGGTTCTTCTGTCCATGGTACTGTAGGGAAGAAAATGTCCATGTGCATCATACAGAATCTCTTGTGGTTACACGGTTATGTCTCTTCCCCTTTGGTCTTCGTGTTCTTTCCTTGCCAGAAAACCTACCAAACTCACACCAATTCTGTGGCCCGTTCTGCCAACCTAAATTTGTACGACTGCTGCTCAACCATCAGTTTGTAGGTACAGTCAGTCAGCTGCGTCCGCAAACTGTTTTTGTCCCGGGCGGCACATTTCGTTTCCAAACGTTGTGCTTCGGGAAACATTGACTGTAGTCCACACACTGTCGACACGCTGACCTTCCCAAGGCCACGGAAAGAAAAGGATCCCTGTTTCGACGGAGCCGAGCCGAGTCGAGCCCAACCGGAGCGCACATTTGATAGGTGGGAGTGGAGGTGAGGAGGATTCTCTCCAATGTGTGTATGGGGGTGCTACCAAACCCGAGCACCTGACACGGCAGGGTGACCAGTGAGGCGTACGCATGGACTGTCAGGATGAACTGGGTATCATTTTCGGAATCGACGGGGTAGATCTATCATGATATTGTAAGCAGGCAATTCCCTAGAATCTGCGTTTTAATGAGCAAAGTTGCGAAAGGAGGAGGCTAAGTGGGAGAGGTGATCGATGCACATTGTGACCTGAAAGGGCAAGCGGAACTTAGCGGGGCTCGAGAATATTTATAGATATTTATAGCCAGTCGCCACCCAGAAGATCTACCCCTTTTTATTTGCACGGAACTTCATTTTTTCACGCGAAGAACCTGCGATTGCAGGGCGAATCAAAACATACGTCAAGCTGAAACATAGTGGTGCATCTGTTTAAAGCCCAAGACCTGAATTACAAAAAAAAGGAAGGCAAAGTGTGCACAGTTTGCCTTCCGAGCCCATAGTTGACTTCCCGAGCCTCTCTGGTTACCAAATGACGCCCCGCAAAACAGCAGAGAGTCGTAGAGCAGCCCAAAATTGGTTGGCGAGAGTCCCAACCGCTCCCTCCTGAAGGAGTAGGGCAAGGCAAGCTGTGTACAGATTGGAAATTGTTGTAATTCAGGTCATGCTCGACCACATAGTAGCCACGTGAAACTCCTAGGTAGAGCAGAAAGCCAATAGAGCTGGAGCCCAATCCACCAGAAAAAAAAAAACACCAAACAGATTCTATGCGATGGCGCCGCTTTTTACTCAGCGTCGTCGTCGAAACCCTGCGCGACCACGCAAACGACAGTTTGCGGCGCATGCATCTCCTCTCCGAGCTCGATAATAGGTAATCAAACGGTCGATCGCGGTCATTTCCCGCGCATGCGCCCTATGTTTGCCTCAACTATATTCCCCTCCCGCGCTTCCTAGTCGACGTCACACCCTGCCACCCACGCTTCCCCTCGTCGACGTCGCCGTCCCCCACGCTTCCCCCCACCGTCGCCCTCGCTTCCTCCCGCTGTCGCTCACACTTTACTCCGTCGTTGACCACGCTCCCCCTCCCGTCGCTTTCGCTTCCTCCCACCGTCGCCCTCGCTTCCTCCCACCGTCGCCCTCGCTTCCTCCAACCGTCGCCTTCGCTTCCTCCCACCGTCGCCCTCGCTTCCTCCCACCGTCGCCCTCGCTTCCTCCCACCGTCGCCCTCGCTTCCTCTCACCGTCGCCCTCGCTTCCTCCCACCGTCGCCCTCGCTTCCTCCCACCGTCGCCCTCGCTTCCTCCCACCGTCGCCCTCGCTTCCTCCCACCGTCGCCCTCGCTTCCTCCCACCGTCGCCCTCGCTTCCTCCCACCGTCGCCCTCGCTTCCTCCCACCGTCGCCCTCGCTTCCTCCCACCGTCGCCCTCGCTTCCTCCCACCGTCGCCCTCGCTTCCTCCCACCGTCGCCCTCGCTTCCTCCCACCGTCGCCCTCGCTTCCTCCCACCGTCGCCCTCGCTTCCTCCCACCGTCGCCCTCGCTTCCTCCCACCGTCGCCCTCGCTTCCTCCCACCGTCGCCCTCGCTTCCTCCCACCGTCGCCCTCGCTTCCTCCCACCGTCGCCCTCGCTTCCTCCCACCGTCGCCCTCGCTTCCTCCCACCGTCGCCCTCGCTTCCTCCCACCGTCGCCCTCGCTTCCTCCCACCGTCGCCCTCGCTTCCTCCCACCGTCGCCCTCGCTTCCTCCCACCGTCGCCCTCGCTTCCTCCCACCGTCGCCCTCGCTTCCTCCCACCGTCGCCCTCGCTTCCTCCCACCGTCGCCCTCGCTTCCTCCCACCCTCCCCTACACTCCGCCGTCGTCATCACTTCCCTGCCTATCACGTTCACCCTCTTCGTCACACATCGCCTCTCTCTCTCCCCCTATTCTACTTTCACCACTCCTATCGTCGTCCATGGTTACCACCCCACACTTGCACCCTTCTCATTCTCTCACATTCTCCCTTCTCAGAGATTTTCTTCCTTACAGTTGTCACCAGTGGACTACAGGCACAATGCACAAATCTGGAAGGTGGTAACTTTCCATCCCACTCCTGTTGGGACCCATGGTGCTGGGCACCTGTACAAGCATGGTTCTGTGATAGAACGGGGAGGGAAGAGTGGGTATGGCGAATAAGCAAGGGCTGGAGGTTGGAGGTACAGAAGGGCATGTATAGCTGTGGAGCGAAAGGCAGTGCGGATGGTGGTGATGCTCCTGCTGCTCGGGCTGTTGCTGTTGCTCTAGGAGTTACAACTGCTGCTACTTCTGCTGCGCCAGCTGCGCGCCTTTCTCCCTCCCCCTCCTCCTCCTCCTCCTGCTGCCGTGTCAAGAGCGGCTCCCTCAGCACGTCCCCAGCACCGCCAGCACTCGCAGATGCGGGCACATGGGCTCCCTTGCGCGCCGAGTCAGAGGAGGCACCTTGCGCAGAGGGGCGTCGCGAGGAGCAGCGCTGTGACGCTGGTGCCAGGGAGGCTGCCAGACCCACCGGGCTGCGCAGGGCGGACGCACCAGCAGCACCAGCAGCAGCACTGCCTCCGGCACCTGTGCCTGCAGCTGGAGAAACGGGAGCAGCGGCGGCAGCAGGAGCAGCAGGCGCAGCAGTGAGAGTGAGTGCAGGAGGCGGGGGCGAGGCGCCAATGGTGAAGGCAGGAGAGGGCGGGGAGAAGGTGGATTGAGAGAACACCAGCCTGGCCCTTGCAGGCGCCAGCGCGACCGCCGAGTCAGAGGAGGGGGGGATAGAGCCGGGCGGAGGGTTATAATACCCTCCCGTGCTGCTGGAAATCCCCCCCTGCTGCTGACCGCCCATGGGGCTGCTGCTGCCCCCCATGCCTTGCACTGCAAGGAGCGCACCCGACGACGCACCACCGGCGCCCATGCTGCTGCTCCCCTCCGTCGCCTAGTACGCTCCCGAGGCACCCTCCATCGCACCACCGCCACCCGTGCCCATGCCCACGAGCAAGGGCATGGCTAGCGCGCCTCCCACTCCCCCTCCCCCTCCCCCTCCGCCTCCTCCTCCGCCTCTCAGCGAGGGAGCTGACGCGGCTGATGTCTGACAGCAGAGAGTCGTAGCTCTCACTCCGCTCCAACACTCCCCGGCCCCCCACCGCGTGCCCTCCCTCTCCCCCTCCCTCCCCCGCCTGTCCCCCCCCAGACGCGCCTCGTCCTCGGGGAAGCTGTCCAGCATCACTGCCCGCTCCTCCCTCCCCAAGCTCCGTGCGGGGGAAGCGAAGGCTCCGCGCGGGGGAAGCGAAGGCTCCGCGCGGGGAAGCGAAGGCTCCGCGCGGGGGAAGCGAAGGCTCCGCGCGGGGGAAGCGAAGGCTCCGCGCGGGGAAGCGAAGGTTCCGCGCGGGGGAAGCGAAGGCTCCGCGCGGGGGAAGCGAAGGCTCCGCGAGGGGAAACGAAGGCTCCGCGCGGGGGAAGCGAAGGCTCCGCGCGGGGGAAGCGAAGGCTCCGCGCAGGGGAAGCGAAGGCTCCGCGCGGGGGAAGCGAAGGCGACGCGCGGGGAAATCGAAGGCGACGGGGGGGAGAAGCGAAGGCGACGGGCGGGATAAGAGAAGGCAACGGTCATCCGAAAGCGAAGGCGGCGACGGGCGGGGGAAGCGAAGGCGACGGGATGGGGCCTCGAATGCGATGGGCTTCGGAAGCGAAGGCGACGACGCGGGCGATGGACAGAGGAAGCGTGGGACCCGGGTGAAGGAAAGCGAGGGCGAGGGATGGTTACGCTTGGCCGAACGTGAGGGTTATGCGAAACCTGCATTTTTACACCATATCTCATCGCACGCCGCTCAATATCCTTACGTTTCGAACTCACATTCCGCACCACACACCATCGCATCGCGCCTTGTAAGCTCTAGAGTCAACGGCTACGCCCTGCCTACACGTACTCTATATTATGCCTAGTTTTAGTCTGCTGCTAGGATTGTCAAAGTGTGCACAGTTTGGTAGGCACGCTCAACTCTGGTTGTGAAAAGCACACCATTCATCACATGTCTTCTTCCAAGCGACACAACTTTGTCGCAAACTGGTTTCGCGAGTGAAAGGGTTTCGCAACCAAACCGAACCTCTTCCGAACCTAGTTTTTTAGCGTTGACTTCCGTTGAGTAATTCAGGTCTTGGGCTTTAAAGGCGGGGTGCAACTTCTTAGGAACAGTAGGGGGACAAAAATGGCATGTGAGTAACTTGAATTCTATTGGACGAAAAAACTGGAAAACCAGAAGAGGACAAACTTCTCGGCTTTGAACTGCCTGGGTCAACCTCTTCCAAGCTATAATACTTTGAAGTTGAAGTTGATAGTTGGGCCACGGCTTTAAGGGTTTTGAGAAACACGCACTCCATAAAACAGAGCAGAGAGAGTAAACAGCCTCACTCCACAAGGTCTCATCCCTCCAGGTCGGAAGCTCTGTGCCTCGTGAAACCATCAATGCTTTGCTTTGCATACACCAGTCAGTCCCCTTCATTATCATTATCGGAATTGTGTGTTTTTTCTCTAGCGTTTCACACTACTTGCATGCAGAGTCGCGGTGATTAAAGCGCTCTAGTGACTGCGTTCTGGAAGCGGGGCGCCACCAGCGGTGTAACCGTTCAACGTTGAACGTCATCGCGATCGCGTCGGATAAAAGTGCGACGTCAGGAAAGACGAGAAACACGGAGATCCGACGAGAAAAGACGCGCCGTGGTTCCTTTTGGTAACACGAGGGAAGGCCCGAGGGCTTCCTACTGCGCGACGAAATGTGTGACAGCGAGACAGCAGGGATTGAGAAGACGGATCAAGAGGCATGGCGGCGATTGTTGGAGCAGGCGATGGAGGGCGGTGGTGAGATGGACAATGAGAAATTCCTCGAGAAGATGAGGCGTCGACTGGACAGGTGACACTCGTAAATTCCTGGCTCTGTTTTTTTTGTTGCTTCTTTCTGTTTGTTTTTTGTTTTGTTTGTTTGTTTGTTTGTTTGTTTTTTGTTTTGTTTTGTTTTGTTTTGTTTTGTTTTTTTTTCTTTTTGTGTTTTTTTGTTTGTTTGTTTTTTTTTTGTTAGAGATGTACCCCTGCAGTGAGCTAGACAAACGACATGCGGTCTTCTTAAGGAAAACACAACTTCAAGAAGCCGCTGCCTCTTCGTTCCTAACGAGGCTACAATTTCTGGGGCTAAACCGTGGTGCCTCTGGCGCTGCATGACATATAAATACAGTATTTTGGGGACACTTTTGCCTTGGGTCTCAAAAGACTCATTGAGCTGTTGTCCCGAAATTATGCTGAAAGACTCCATAGGGAGACATTGAGGACAGTACATTTTGCGGTGACTGCACAGGTGCGAGTGTCGTTCCCCAACACCATGCTCCTCCCCTCCTTCTCCCCACACTCGTTCCCCAGAATGGAGCTGCGCTTTGAAGGGGTGAACGCGTCCGCCAAGATGCAAGCGGGGGCGAGGGATCTCCCACTCACCCTTTACATTCCTCCCATCATCTTACCCACCCTCCTCCATCTCACAGCGTTGGCGTCTCGTTCCCCGGAGTGGAGGTGCGCTTTGAGGGGGTGAGCGCGTCCGCCAAGGTGCAAGTGGGGGCGAGGGGCCTGCCGACGCTCTTCAACCAGCTCGCCAACTCCACCTCCGCGCTACTGAGGGAGCTGCGCCTACTCAAGGACCAGCGCCGCCTCTTCTTTGCTCTCGAAGGCTGCTCTGGCATTCTGAAACCTGGAAGGTAGGATCTTGAGTCTACTCAAACAATCACCACAGTGCTGCAGGAGCTGCGCCTACTCAAGGACCAGCGCCGCCTCTTCTTCGCTCTTGACGGCTGCTCCGGCATCCTCAAGCCTGGAAGGTAATAGGCGACCTGGTAGGCACGGCAACAAGCAGAGGCGGCGCAGCGGGAGCTGCGCATCGCAAACACAAATTGTGCACAGATGCTTTTCTTGCAAAAAAGCTTCGCGAAACCTTCGGCGGGCTTTGGAATAGCCGGCGGCTACTCAAGGACCGGCGCCGCCTGTTCTTCGCTCTTGATGTCTGCTCTGGCCTCCTCAAGCGTAGCAGGTAGGCTTTTGAGTCGACTCTCCAAGGTCATCTACAGCTGAAGGGCTTCTACAGCTAGTCAAGGACCAACGCTGCCCGTTTTTCACCCTCGGGTTGTGGTCATGTTTTTGAGACGCCCCAGATGGATGAGCTTTTGATTTCTAAGCATCAACCATCACCAGGCCCACCCAGAATATTTCCAGTTCCTAGCATGACGCTGCTGCTGTATCCTTCAGGCGCTGGCAAGTAAACGCTGCTACCAAGCCGATCACCACCTGATTACCACCTGACACCACCCCACCTGCTCTTCATTTCTCAGGATGACGCTGCTGCTGGGGCCGCCAGGCAGCGGCAAGTCAACGCTGCTGAGGATCCTGGCAGGGAAGGCGGAGAGGGAGCTGGGCGTGCAGGGCGAGGTGACGTACAACGGCCGCCCGGGCAGCCACTTTGTGCTGCCGCGCTCCGTGGCGTTTGTGCCTCAGACGGACTCCCACATCGGCGAGATGACTGTCCGCGAGACCCTCGAGTTCTCCGCTCGCCTGCAGGGGCCCGGCCACCGCGGAGGTAGTTTTTCTTCTTTCTTTTTTTCTTTCTTTCTTTCTTTCTTTCTTTCTTTCTTTCTTTCTTTCTTTCTTTCTTTCAATCTTTCACTAATTACTGTGCACTGTGGACAGCCAGGATAGGCTCCTGTATGATTGTTGCCTCTTTCCCTCTGCTATCACTCATTCTGCTCCCCACTCACTCTGTGCCCACAACAAATCATGCTCCCCTGAGCGACCTATCACTCATCTCCCTCTCCTCCCTTCCTCCGCAGAGCTATTTCGGCAGCTGGAGGAGAAAGAGGAAAATGCAGGGGTCCAGCCAGATGACACCATGCAAGCTGTCATGAAGGTCAGTGATGACGTCATGCAAGCCGTCATGAAGGTCAATGATGACGTCATGCAAGTCGTCATGAAGGCAGTGATGACGCCATGCAAGCCGTCATAAAGGTAGTGATGACGCCATGCAAGCCGTCATAAAGGTAATGATGACGTCATGCAAGCCGTCATGAAGGTAGAGATGACGTCATGCAAGCCATCACGAAGGTAGTGATGACGTCGTGCAAGCCGTCATGAACGATGTGATGACGTCATGCAATCCGTCATGAAGGTGGTGATGACGTCATGCAAGCCGTCATGAAGGTAGTGATGACGTCATGCAAGCCGTCGTGAAGGTAATGATGACGTCATGCAAGCCGTCATGAAGGTAGTGATGACGTCATGCAAGCCGTCGTGAAGGTAATGATGACGTCATGCAAGCCGTCATGAAGGTAGTGATGACGTCATGCAAGCCGTCATGAAGGTAATGATGACGTCATGCAAGCCGTCATGAAGTTAGTGATGACGTCATGCAAGCCGTCATGAAGGTAGTGATGACGTCATGCAATCCGTCGTGAAGGTGGTGATGATATCATCTAGCAATATTTCCACATTTTTTGTTTTTGTTTTTGTTTTTTTTTTTATCAATTTTTTTTCTTACAGATTATGTGCCCCCCACTTTCCTCCCTCCCAGGCTCCCCCCTTCCCCACCTTCCCCCCTCCCCACTTGCCTTATGTTGACTTACACGTATAAGTCTTGTTACTTCCTTGGTGATCCTGTGGAACTTGATGTTACTCACTCCAACGTGCGGTTTGAAACAAAACACCGCATCACCTCCACCCTCCTTACCAACTCTCCCCCCTGTCCACGCTCTCCTCTGGTATTGCTGCATGCGTAATCACCGGTGCTCCTACACCACAGGCGATGGCAGACGAGAGGCAGTGCTCCAACGTTGTGGTGCAGTTCGTCCTCAAGGTGTGTGTGTGTGTTAGGGGGAGAGGGGAGGGAGATGGGAAGCAGTGCGGGAGAGGGTGCATAAAGGTGTGCCATAGAATGAAGGGTGCATATTTCTAAAATTGCATGAGGGTGTTGCTAGCTACTACAGGCGATTGTAGAGGGGGAAGGGGGGAAGGGCGGGTGGCAACAGCATGTGTAGAGGGATCTCATGAGAACCGACAAAATCTTGCTGACTCCTTTGATCTCATTTTTAACAATTCTCTCTCTCACCTGCCCTGCAGATGCTAGGCCTGGACGTTTGTGCTGATACCATGGTAGGAGACAGCATGCGTCGAGGAATCTCCGGAGGGCAGAAGAAGCGGGTTACCACCGCCGAAGCACTTCTGGGTGCAAAGCAAGTCCTCCTATTGGACGAGATCTCCACCGGTCTCGATTCCGCCACCACTTACCAGATCACCCGGTGCCTGCGCAACCTCACGCACTTAACTAATACCACCACCCTCATCTCCCTGCTGCAACCCGCGCCTGAAACCTTTGAGCTGTTTGATGACGTCATGCTGATGTCAGAGGGGCGGATCGTGTACCATGGGCCCAGGGAGGAGGTGCTGGGATTCTTCCGGGAAATGGGGTTTGTGCCGCCCGCCCGCAAGGGAGTGGCTGACTTCCTGCAAGAGGTGAGGTTCCTGCATGTGGTGCCCCTCATTGAGTCGACTCAAAACCAGCACGTTGCATATATATATGTTTACATGGATATATATAAACATATACATATGTATATAATATTTTTGTTGTACCAATTGTTTTTCTTTATGTTTTTTCTCTTTCTTCACCCCGGGCTCCTGCAATGTGCTTTCTGCCATCCCCTGTACAGGTCACTTCGTTAAAAGACCAGAAGCAGTACTGGCGCCCCGCCCAGCCCCACCGGTACCACTACGTGTCCGTCCGAGCCTTCGAGGAGGCCTTCCGAGCCTCCAGGTTCGGCAAGCAGATTGAAGCAGAGCTCTCCATTCCATTCAAGCAGGATCATTGCACAGCCAAGGGAGGGAGTGAGGGGAAATTTGTTGATGACAGTGGAGCGGGTGAAGGGAAGGACGTGGAAAATGGGGGAGAGGAGGGAAAGGGAGGCAGAGAGGACGGGAGTTGTTCTCTTGCTCTGGCGAAGAGGCGGTTCGCACTGCCTCCCCTTGCGCTGCTCAGTGTTGTAGCGGATCGCGAGTGGCTGCTGATGAAGCGGAACCTGTTTCTCTACATCGTGCAGACCATGCAGGTACAACAGATACTCGTTACTGTCACAGTCATTGGTGAAAGTCGTTCCTTCACATTGTACAGACGTCCCAGGTAGCTAAGATGCTCGTTACAGTCACTCTGACCAGCCTACACACTTGCCTCACTCTTAACTTCCCCCTGAACGCCCTCTCACTTTTTATTCGCTGCACTTATGTATGTATGTATGTATGTATGTATGTATGTATGTATGTATGTATGTATGTATGTATGTATGTATGTATGTATGTATGTATGTATGTTTGTATGTATGTTTGCATGAATGTATGCTCTCACATTTTACCCAACAAAACTTAGCTCCCCTCTATCCTCCCACACCCCCACTCCCCCCATGTCAGATCCTCCCCCTCGCTATAGTCACAATGACAGTCTTCTGGCGCTCCCAGTTCTCCGTCACCCCAGTGGACAGCAATTACTACCTGGGCGCCATTTTCTTCGGTATAAGCACGATGCTGTTCAGCGGAATAATCGAGCTCACGCTACTCACGGCCCGCCTGCCCATCTACTTCCTCCAAAGGGACAACCTGTTGTTCCCTGCCTGGGCCTGGTGTGTGCCCATGGCGCTGCTCTCTCTGCCCGTCTCCCTCTGGTCCGCTGGAGTCTGGACCGCCATCACCTACTATGGCATCGGATTCGCTCCAGAGTTCTCCCGGTGAGTCGCTAGCAGCATACTGCTATCTCAGGCGGGGTTTGGACCGCCACAGGTGGGGTCTGGACCGCCATCACCTACTATGGCATCGGCTTTGCCCCGGAGTTTTCTCGGTACGTTATTCCCCATGAGTCACTACTCGGTCAGGTCGCTCGCTCACGCTGCTCTCTCTGCCCGTCTCCCTCTGCGTCTGCTGGAGTCTGGACTGCCATCACCTACTATGGAATTAGATTTGCTCCTGAATTCTCCCGGTGAGTTCTCAGTACTAGATTCCATGGTTTCATAAAGCTCACTCACTCTGGTCCGCCGGGGTCTGGACCGCCATCACCTACGATGTCATTGGCTTCGCTCCAGAGTTCTCCCGGTGAGTCGCCACACCATCGGTGAGGTACGTTTCTCCCACTCACTTCTTGTGACTTCATAGTGTCACTCCCGTTGCTCTGCGCTGGGATCTGGACCACCATCAAATACTACGGCATTGGGCTCGCCCCGGAATTCCTCCTGGTGAGTTTTCCCGGTGAGTTTCTAGTTTGGCAAGGTAAGTTCCTCCTGCTGATTATCTCCAGGGAATCAATCTGCTTACTCTCCCACCCGCCCGACCTCTCCTCTCTGCAGATTCATCGCTCAGCTGCTTCTCTTCTTCATCACCCACATGTCTGCCTCTGCACTCTACCGAGCCATGGGAGCTGTCTTTCGCAGCACCACGCTCATCAACACGCTTGGCAACTTCATCCTCGTCACCCTCTTCCTTCTCTCAGGGTTCCTCATTACCAAAGGTGCGTGCTTGTGAGATGCATACTCTTAAAGTGTTGAAAAGCAAAAATCCAAAAGGTGAAATTCCCCCGTTCACCTCTATGCATCCCATCCATCCACCTGCCCTAAGAATATCAGATTTCTCCCCTCACATACTGCCAGAACGATATTCTTCCTTCCCAGGCTCCTCAAAAGGTCTTCTAGTTGCTGTAGATGCGGTCCTCACCCCCATAACGCTCGCAAATAAGTTCCACTGTCTACCCATCATATGTTCCCCGTTGCAGACGATATCCACAACGTGTGGGTGTGGGTGTATTGGATCTCGCCGCTCACCTATTCACAAAACGCCTTTGCCATCAACGAGTTCCTCGCCCCCAGATGGGATGTGGTATGTGCTTGCCATGGTGCATCATTACGGTATGGTGTGGTGCCATGTGGTTGGGTTGTGTGGTGTGGGTGTGGGTATACTGGATCTCGCCCCTCACCTACTCCCAGAACGCCTTTGCCATCAACGAGTTTCTCGCCCCCAGATGGGATGTGGTATGTGCTGTGTGTGTGGTATGGTATGGTATGGTGTGGTGTGATATGGTATGGTATGGTGTGGTATGGTGTGGTATGGTGTGGTATGGTGTGGTATGGTGTGGTATGGTGTGGTATGGTGTGGTATGGTATGGTATGGTATGGTATGGTATGGTATGGTATGGTATGGTATGGTATGGTATGGTGTGGTACGATATGGTATGGTATGGTGTGGTTTGGCTTGTTGTGGTGGGGTGTGGGTATGGTATGATATGCATGGGGTATGGTACGATATGCTGTTGAGTGGTATGGTATGATATGGTATGGCGTGGTATGGTACGGTATGGTATGGTGCGGTGGGATGCGGTAGGGTGTGGTGCAGTATGGTAGTGGTATGATATGGTGTGGCATGACATGGTATGGCATGGTATAGTATGTTATGGCATGGTATGGCATGAGATGGTATGGCATGGTATGGCAGGGTTAAGGCACGTTATGGTACTGTGCCCTGTGCGTTTCCATGCCATGTCCATGTGATACTGCGCCCCGCATGCATGTCTTTTTAAGGACAACAACAAACTCTGTCTCTCCCTTCCCTTCATCCACGCCCACACTCTACTCCCCCTCTTACCCCCATCTCCCCTGCCCTCTCCGCCCTCATCCCCCCCTCTTCCCCTCCCCCAGCCTCCACCCAAGCCCTCCATCCCCCCATCGCTGAACACAGCAATGGGCCTTCAGGTGCTCACGGCTCACAGCCTCTGAACCCAGGGTTACTGGGTGTGGGGAGGTTGCCTCAGCATCATTATTTATAATCTCCCTCTTTGCCCTCTTCCCCCTCTTTTCCCTGCCCCCCAGCCCTCTGTCCCCCCATCACTGAACACAACAATGGGCATTCAGGTGCTCACAGCACGCAACCTCTGGACACAGGGCTTCTGGGTGTGGGGCGGTCTTGCTGTTGGTGTCGTCTTTACTTTCTTCTGCATTGTGCTTACCATCCTCGCACTCGAATACATCAATCGTAAGCTGTTGAATTCTTTGGATGTCTCAAAACAATTTCGCCTCGTCTGCAACGTGCTTACATCCTCGCATTCAAATGACTCAAACTTTCGCCGTGCGTTATTGCTTCTTCCCATCACTTGCTCTCTCCCTCCTCCCCTTTCCTTTCTCCACCCATCCCTCTCTCCACCCCCCGCTCCCCCTTCGTCTCTGCACCCTGGCCCAAGGCTCAGCCAGTGAGCTCTCAGCATCAACTAGATGCCCTAACTCACTTTTATCTTGCTCTTTTCCCTCGTCCTCTTTCCCCATTCCAACCCCCCATCTTCACCCCAGCCTGGCCAAAGGCTCAGCCAGTGATATCGCAGCATCAGCTGGACGCGCGGGAGGCAGCTCTCGTTTCCATTTCTCCGTCTTCACCCACCCACCCCCTTTTCTCCCCGCCCTCCCCCATCTTCACCCCAGCCTGGCCAAAGGCTCAGCCAGTGATCTCCCAGCATCAGCTGGACGCCAGGGAGACAGCGCTAGCCGGCACCAACCTGGACTTCGCCTCGCACTACTCCAATCTCCGTTCCCTCACGCTCGCTCGCACTGGCACCACTGCCACGGCCCGCTTCCTTGCCAGCAACCGCTTCCGCTCCTCCAAGAGCCTCGCCAGGCCCTCCCCGTCTGCCCGCTCCATGAAAAGCTTTTCCTCGGGCAGCCCGGCGGGAGGGGGAGGGGTGGAATTGGAAAGGGTTGGAACGATGAGCCATAGGAGGGGGTTGGGGTTCAAGGGCAGCAGCTTCATGGGTGGGGGGGAGTCCTTTCAGCGCAGTGCAAGCCGTATGGGGTCATTCATGGGCAGTAAGATGGGGGACGCAGAGGAAAGAGGTTCGGTTTTCAGGAGCGTGACCAAGTCCTGGAGAAATTTTAGTACTGCTGGTGCTGGTGCTGGTGGTGGCGCTGGTGGTGGTGGTGGCGGTTGCGTCGGTGCTGGTGCTGCTGTTGCTGCTGTTGGGGATGTGGATGTGGGTACAGGAGGAGGAGACAGTGCAGTTAGCAACACAGGTGTCAGTGGTGAGAAGAAGCGGCAGAGGAAAGCAGTTTCGTTTCTGAGCGATGCGAGTGATGGTGCAGGGGATACTGCAGGCAGCAGCGCAGGAGGAGGAGAGGAGAAGCAGCGACAGAGGAAAGCAGTTTCTTTTTTGAGCGATGGGGATGCGAGTGAGGGTGCAGGGGAGACTGCATGCAGCAACACAGGGCAAGGAGAGAGGCTTTTAGAGCAGCAGAAGCAGCAGCAGCAGCAGAAGAAGAACGTTCTTACAAGAAACGACAGTCTTGAACGAGATGGTGATACTGCTGATGTTGATCTTGCTGACCTCGAACAATTGAAGGACCTGAAACACGAGGATGACGCTGACGATGAGTTTAATGAGTATGATGCCACTGGAGGCCTTGCTGGTGGAGGGGATATAGGCCAGCACGGCATGGTCCTCCCATTTGATCCGCTCACCCTCTCCTTCCACAACGTCAACTACTATGTCGACATGCCCGCTGAGCTAAAAGACAAGGCCACGCCGCCCGGCGAGCGGCTGCAGCTGCTGCGCAACGTGTCCGGCGTGTTTCGTCCCGGAGTGCTGACCGCCCTGATGGGGGTGTCTGGGGCGGGGAAGACCACGCTAATGGACGTGCTGGCAGGGAGGAAGACCGGGGGGTACATTGAAGGGGATATCCGCGTGTCTGGGTACCCGAAAGTGCAGGAGACGTTTCTGAGGGTGTCGGGGTATTGTGAGCAGGTGGATATTCACACGCCCCAGGTGACCGTGCACGAGTCTCTGCTCTACTCCACCTGGCTTCGCCTGCCTGAGGAGATCGACCGCGATGTCATCCTGGTGAGTTGGTGGTAGTGGTCATGGTGAGTCGTGGGATGTGATTATATGATTGGAGGGATGTGATTATATGATTGGAGGGATGTGATTATGGTGAGCGGAGTTTTGAGGCGCCTCAAAAAAAGTCATCCTGGTGAGTTGGTGGTAGTGGTCATGGTGAGCGGCGATTTGTGAGAATGGTAATGCTTGTGGTGAGTGAAATGGCGCGGTTATAGTGAGTGGAGGGGTGTTATTGCTGGATTTCCTAATGAGGTGGAGGAGCTAAAGGCGGTGAGGGGATATTTGATATGATCACAGCGATCACATGTGTGGACTTGCCATTACATGTGCTCGCTGTGCTCTTGGCAAGTGCTCTTGCATCCCTGCCTTTGCTCCCTGCCTGCTTGCACTGGCGGGATTTCGTGGGGGAAGTGTTTTGAGACGTCTCAAAACACTTTTTCAAACAAGTGATGGATTTGGTGGAGTTAAGGCCATTGAAGGGAGCACTGGAGAAATACTGTGTTCGTGCCTTTGTGAAGTAATCGATTTTGTAAGGTTAGAGCCGGTGAAGGGAGCGCTGGTGGGAGTCTGTACACATGCTTCTTTCCCCATGCCCCTCTGCCCTTTATTCACTAGGAATTCGTGGAGGAGGTGATGGAGCTGGTGGAGTTGGAACCAGTAAAGGGAGCACTGGTGGGGACGGCGGGGCAGGATGGGCTGTCGGTGGAGCAGAGGAAGCGGCTGACCATCGCAGTGGAGCTCGTAGCCAACCCATCAATCATCTTCATGGATGAACCCACCTCAGGTGATACCCACCTCAGGTGATACCCGCCCATCAGGTACCACCTCCCCTCTCAGGTAACCCCGCCATCATCTTCATGGACGAACCCACCTCAGTTACCAAACCCGCCTCAGGTGACACCTCCCCTTCAGGTGTGGATATCACTTGATTCAGGCGAGCTCTTGGCCAACCGTCTTCATGGAAGGACCTACCGCAGGTATACCCACGTGGATTCTTTTTTCCTTGCATTCCTCCCTCCTCCTCCTCCTCCTCCTCCTCCTCCTCCTCCTCCTCCTCCTCCTCCTCCTCCTCCTCCTCCTCCTCCTCCTCCTCCTCCTCCTCCTCCTCTTCCTCCTCCTCCCCCACTCTTCCTCCTCCTCCTCCTCCTTCGGTTTCCTCTCTTCTGGGCTTAATACCACGTGATAATAATACTGTTTTGAGACGTCCCAAAAGCAGACATACTATCAAGTGGCAAAATAGGCATAATACTGAAGCCCGCGTGCATTGAGGTGATTTTAGAGGCGCCTTAAATCGTCTCAAAGCAGATATACTCTCAGGTGGCAAGACAGGAAAATTAATGAAGACAGGTGAAATGAGAGTGTTTTTGAGACGTCTCGAAAACACTTCCACTTCACGTGGCTATCAGGTGCCAAAACAAACATACTAATGGAGCCAGGGTGTGTGGTGTGGTCACACAAACCCTTCCCCCTCGTTTATTTCCAAGTCTTTGACTGAATTAGCTGGAGATGGTCTCTCCATCTCCTCACATCCTCTTCTTATTCTCAGGCCTGGAACGCAGGGAAGCACCCATAATGATGAGGAGGCAACACAGGCAAGACTGGTCGCACCTCTCTCTCTCACCCTTTTCCCTCTTTCCGTTGCATTTTTCACTCTTTTTAATCTCCCTCCTCACACCCTGAGCAGGGCTGGATGCGAGGGCAGAGGTCGTGGTGATGAAGGCAATGTGAAACACACCTCTTTCCCTCAGATTCTTTCTTCTTTCTCTTTTCTTCTTACTCTCTCTCTCCTCTCATTCCATGCAGGGCTGGATGAGAGGGCAGCGGCCGTGGTGATGAGGGCGGTGCGCAACACAGCCAAGACTGGCCACACATTGTATTCCCCTCTTTCCCCCTCGTTTTCGTCTCACCCCCCCACCCACAACCTTGGCAGGGTTGGATGCGAGGGCAGCAGCCATAGTGATGAGGGCGGTGCGCAACACAGCCAAGCCAAGACTGTTCACACATTGTTTCCCCCTCATTCTCCTCTCTCTCCCCCCCCCCCCCCACAACCTTGGCAGGCCTGGATGCGAGGGCAGCGGCCATAGTGATGAGGGCGGTGCGCAACACAGTGGAAACTGGTTGCACCTCTTTGCTTCACCAGCTTTCCTCTTCCTCTCACTTGTTTCTCTCCGCCTACTCTCTAACCTCATTTCCAATCACAGGGCTGGATGCGAGGGCAGCGGCCATAGTGATGAGGGCGGTGCGCAACACAGTCAACACGGGCCGCACAGTCGTGTGCACCATCCACCAGCCGTCCATCGACATCTTTGAGGCGTTCGACGAGGTGAGATGTCATACGCTGTGTGCTTGTGTAAGTGTACACTAAGAAGACAGTATGGAGTCGCACAGTCGTGTGCACCATCCACCAGCCGTCCATCGATATCTTTGAGGCGTTTGACGAGGTAACAGCTCGATACAGTGTGCGTAGGTATAAGTGGGCATTAAGATAGCATGGGGTCACACAGTCCTGTGCACCATCCATCAGCCGTCCATCGATATATTCGAGGCGTTTGACGAGGTGAAAAATGAAGTGATGTTTGTATTATATGTTTACGTACACACACACACACGCACACGCGTGCGCGCGCGCGCACACACACACACACATATTGCACTTTTCAGTTTAAATTTACTCATACTTCTACATAAAACTAATACAAAGAAACGTAATAAAGTGCATTGAGATAACACCGCCGCACAGTAATCAACACTACACACTAGCTCGCCCTTCCCTGCTTATCTACCTCGCCTCCTCCACTGCACTGCACCCATCTCGTACCTCCCCTCCCACCTCCTTCCTCTCCCCTGCACGCCTCTCCATCGCACCATGCTGCACCTCTCTCTCTTGTGGCCTCTAACTCCCCGTTCCCAACCTCCCACCACCTTGCAGCTGCTGCTGATGCAGCGGGGAGGAGAGGTCATCTACACGGGGTCTCTGGGAAAGCAGTCGTGCGACCTCGTTAGCTACTTCAAGGTAAGGCATCGATTTTTGTCTAGGTAACTTCTCTTCTCCCTCCTTCCTGTTAGAAATAGTCAGTCAACACTTTGTACTATATTATATATCAGTTAGGTTACTTTGTAGGTTGGGTGTAGATTTGTAATCCCAACCCTATCTGGTTGGGATTCCCTCGTAATCCTGCAAATCTGCCAACTCACCAATTGGAGATTTGCTAGGATTCCCATCCCATCCTTTCCCTAGCTTTGCTCAACCCAACCGTGTTTGTAATTAAGGCCTAGTGCCTTCCTTATCAATCAATCAGTTTCAGTTCCGATTCTATCACTTCCCACCTTCCGACTTCCCTCCTGCACTCCATTCCATCCCCCACCCATCATTCTGTGAGCCACACCACATCAGGATTACCTCGATTCCTACCCCCCAGTGCCTACCTCCCAACTCCAACCTCCTTCCCCACTTCAACATCCTCCCACTCTCTCTCAATCCGCCCTTCCATTCGCCCAGTCCATCAAAAAGAGTGCCACCCATCCAGCCCAGGGCCAACCCGCACCATGTGACTGCTCAAGCTCGTTGTTTTCTCCCTCACCCTTCCTCACATTTCCCCTACTTCCCCTCGCTATCCCCCTTCAGCTCATCCCAGGAGTGCCGCCCATCCAGCCCGGCGCCAATCCAGCAGCGTGGATGCTCGAGGTCACAGCGCCAGCAGCAGCAGAGAGGCTCGGGGTAGACTTTGCTCAGCTGTTCTGCCAGTCTGACCAGTTCAGGTGAGAACAACAAAACTTCAGGTGAGAGAAACAGAGGCTCAGGTGTATACAGCAGAGGCTGAGAGGGACTGTTTCATCAGGAAATGACGAGCCTGGTCATGTGAGAACAACAGAGGTTTCAGCCAACAGCCCTGCCTCTTCTTCCCAACCCACCCAGTATCCCTCACACACCTTTCTCGCAATCTCTCATGCCTTCTTACCGGTTCAATTCACTCCCATCCCCTACCCCTATCCCCCACACTGCCTACCTCTACTATCCTTCCTCTCCACAGGGATCGGCTAAACAACAACAGTGCCCCATACATCACTTCCCCCTCTCTCCCATGCACGTACCCCTTTCTCTGATGTACCCTCTCCCCTCCCTTACCTTCTCTCCGATTCACCCTCTTTTCTCCCTTGCCCTCTCTTCCCTTTCACCCTCTTCACTTCCCATCTCACTCGCAGGGCCATAGAGTCGCTCATCCAGGAAGCTTTTGAGTCGACTCAAATTTCACCCTCTTCACTTCCCCTCTCACTCGCAGGTCCATAGAGTCGCTCATCCAGGAATCCAAGGAATCCAGTGAGCGTCCTGAAGGGAAACCGGACCTCTTCTTCCAAACGCAGCACCCCACAACGCCGCTCTCGCAGTTCCTCCATCTTACCCCCCTTCTCTCCCTTGCCCTCTTCTCGCCCTTATTCCTCTCACCCACAGGACCATAGAGGCACTGATCCAGGAATCCAGTGAGCCACCTGAAGGGGAACCGGACCTCTTCTTCCCAACGCAGCACCCCACCACGCCGCTCTCCCAGTTCGCGACCCATCTGTGGAAGCGGCACCTCATGTACTGGCGCATGCCCGACTACAACGGCGCGCGCTTCTTCTTCTCCTTCTTCATGGCTCTCCTCATCGGCGCCGTCTTCTTCGGCTTCGGAAACACCCGGGAAACTCCCCAGCAGATTGTGAACGTCATGGGTGCGCTTTACACGGCTGCTCTCTTCCTCGGGTGGAGCAATCTCGCGTCGATCCAGCCAATGCTGGCCGTGGAAAGGAGTATTTACTACCGGGAGCGGGGCGCCGGGATGTATGGAGCTATCCCGTACGCGCTCGCGCAAGGGGCGATTGAGCTGCCATACTTGGTGGTTCAGGCTTTGGTGTACTCGTTAATAACATACTCGATGATTCGGTTCGAGTGGACGCTCGGCAAGTTCCTGCTGTACCTGCTGTTCCAGTTCCTCACGCTGCTCTACTTCACGTGTTTTGGCATGATGACGAGTGCCATCACGCCCGCTGAAGGGTTAGGAACGCTGCTCTCTGCCTTCATCTACTCCTTCTGGAATCTTCTCTGCGGCTTCCTCCTGCCGCAGCCGGTGAGTGCAGTGCTCGTTGCTATTTGTTTTTCAGTGCTCGTTTCCACAGCTGGTGTGTGCATTCTGCACCTTGAGCTCTGTTCTCCATTCTTGAGTACTCAACATAGCATCTGTGTGTGCTGTAATGGAAATGATTGCATGGTATCAACTCTGTTCAATGGCCCTTTTTCCCCACTCCTTCTGGCCTGCTGATTCCTCTCCCTTTCACACACTCAACAGAAAATCCCAGTGTACTGGATATGGCTGTATTGGATCAACCCTGTCGCGTGGACCCTCTACGGCCTTGCTGCTTCCCAGGTATCCTTCTTTTGCCTTGCTACTGCCCATGTTTTTTTCCTTTTCTTTTTTCTTTTTCTTCCTCGCTGCTTCCAGATATACCCTCTTTTGCCTCGCTGCTTCCCAGGTAAACCCTTTTTTGCCTCTCTGATTCGCAGGTATACCAATTTTTGGCTCTCTGATTCCCAGGTATACATGCTTGCTTATTCCTCATTGCGTTCCAGGTATACCCTCTTCTGCCTCGCTTATGTCCCAGGTATACCCTTGTTTTCCTCGCTGCTTCCCAGATACACCTTCTAGGCCTGTATTACCTTCACAATCGGCTCCACCTACTTCACTCTCGCCTGTTCCTTTTGCCATCCCAAACTTATCTCCTCTTGTACCTCATTTCATCTCTGGTTGCGTTACAGTTGGGAGATGTAACGACGCTGGTGGTGAGTTCACCAGGAGTACCACCTCAGACGGTATCGCAGTTCATCCAGCTCTACTACGGCTTCTCCCACGACTGGCTCGGCTACGCTGCTGCTGCTCTGCTCGGCTTCTCCTGCCTCTTCTTCTGCGTCTGCACCTACGCCCTCCGCAACCTCAACTTCCAAAATCGATGAGAATGGGAGAGATGAGCGCGCTGCTGCTCTGCTCGGCTTCTCCTGTCTCTTCTTCTGTGTGCTCACCTTCTATGCCCCCCGCAACCTCAACTTCCAAAATCGATAGGAATGGGAGAGATGAGCGCGCTACTACTCTGCTCGGCGTCTCCTGTCTCTTCTTCTGTGTGCTCACCTTCTATGCCCTCTGCAACCTCGACTTTCAAATGCGCTGAGAAAAGACAAGGCGAGTCAGAAACCTGTCGGAATTGTTTTGAGCCTGGCAAGTCTGGCTGGGCCGTACTGCTGCTGCTGCAACGCATGGCTTCTCCTGCCTCTTCTTCTGCGTGTTCGCCTGGCGCTCCGCAACCTCAGCTTCCAGTGGAACTAGTTTTGGGAGAAATGAGCTGTTGTGAACAGTGCTGCTCGTCTTCTCCCGTCTTCTTGTCTGTGCCTTCTCACCTACGCCCTCCGCAACCTTTCAGTGGATATATGTATCCTGCTGTGTGGTAGGGAGGCATGGATGAGAAGGTGGGAATGGATGAGATAGATGGGGTCATTGGAAATCTCTAGACCACTGGTGCTGCTTTCTGTTCAGCTTCCAGCTTGTGTTTGAATAAAGGGTGCAGCCCTATGTTTTAAAAAGGAACAGTACTGTTCAAACTGCAACGTAGCTAAAGCTTCTATGTACAACTGGTAGTACAGTTTTTAGAATGAATAGGAGTTCTTTATATGCTTCTTATGTTTGGAGAGACCCCGTGAATCAGGGGAGTTTGGGCTGGTGCGAGGAGAGGAGAGGAGAGGAGGCTACAATGCTGCCATACTTTTGGGACCCTTCAGGGTGCTATACATTGGGTTGGGGAGATGGTATAACAATGCCACATGTCACATAGGCCACACAAGTAGATCAGAAGGAGCAGGGGGCAATATGGAAGAGTTTGTTTGAGAGGCCTAGGAGTTGAGCATTAACCGTAGTAGTCTCCGAATGAAGCTCTGGCTGATGAGATGGTGTGGAAGGATGAGGTGGATGGGAGATCCCTAGGTCACTCTGCTGCTTTCTTGCTTCCCTCTACATATTTGTATACATATTTTATATATTGAAGTATACATGTCAATTACTGACAGTGCCCACTTCTTCTTCTCCTTCTTCATGGCTCTCCTCATTGGCGGAATCTTCTTCGGCTTCGGAAACACCCGCGAAACCCCACAGAATATTGTGAACGTCATGGTTGCACTTTACACAGCTGCTGTCTTTCTCGCGTGGAAAAATCTCGCATCGATCCAGCCGATGCTGGCCGTGGAAAGGAGTATTTACTACGGAGCGGGGAGCCAGGATGTTGTTGAGTGCAAAATGTGGTTTGCACGTCAACCTACCGCCTATTCGCCGACGATAAAGGAAAATGAGAGTTTTTGTTTTAAGGTAATTTGTGGAGTGTGAGGAGCGCATTTGTGTGCTTTACATTTGTGCGTTTACAGTTTGTGAATCGCCTTAGCGGTTCATACGTTACATGCATTTTTGTGTGTGGGTGCATTTCATGAATGTTCATGAATGTTCATGAGTTTCCGTGAGAGCGCATGAAAGTTCGTGAGTTTCGGTAAGTCCGCGTGAGTCCGCGATTGTTCACGAGTCTGCGTGTGCGCTCATTGTTTCTCATGTGTTTTCGTGAGTTTTCATTAGAGTTCATGAGAGTTCATATTTTTTGTGCATTTTAGAGAGTGGCGAGTGTTTTGCCACGTTGACTAAGTCGCGCTGGTCAAGGTCAGCCGCGCGCAAAGGTCAGGACCCGCGCGTGGGGTCCTGACACACGCGTGTGGCCCCTCAGGGCTCGCGCGTGTGCTTCGGCACTGTTGCGAGCGTGGCAGGGCCCACGACCGCAACAGAACAGGGCACATTACTGCCCTGTCTCGCGCCAAGACAGCGCACGATCGCGTACGCGATCGTCCTGTCCTGCATGACCAAGAAATATCTCGGTCATGCTGGCTGGCACGTGAGGAGCTCGGGATTTACAGTTAAAAAACTGTACCCTGTGTTGACTTGGCAAACATGAGGTTTTGCCAGAAAGTCACGCCACATTGCGTGATCATTTCGATAAGGTACAAAACGGTAAATTCCGTTTTGGAACGGGAAAACGGTTCTCCCACACGAGGCTTCATGAGTGTTAACGGGAATTCATGAGTGCTCGCGAGGGGAGTCAGCAGGGGCGTTTGGATGAAGTGCCATTTGAAATCAGTTATTCTAATGAAGCGGATCAAGCCAAATGCAGCTGAAGTTTGACAACCGTTTTACCAAGACAACATGGCGAAGTCTTATATTACAGTTTTATAACTGTTAAATGCTTGCCTTGTGTTTGCTTAAGTTCATGCTTAGTGCCTTCTATAAATGCGTGCTTGTGTTTCTTTGTAATCAACTTTTTGGAGTGAACATTTTCTCTATTGACGTATTGACGCGAGGAGAAATTTCTGCATACGAGCCAATCAGTCGTTATTGCTTCCGCAATTGTGCTTGGGAGTGCTCTAGTGCACACGATTGCTTTCACGCTTGAAAAGTCCTTCAACAAACACGGACCCTTGGATAGGGGCTGGTTTTACCAGGCACCCAAGGACCCTTCGAGGTGACCCCGTGAGGACTATCTAGCGTTGATTAAAGGTGTGGTTAGAGCTTCTAGGTCCCAAATAGCTGTCAGCAGATGTATGGAGCTTTCCCGTACGTGCTCGCGGAAGGATCAATCTGTCAATCTATATGTGATATATGTATCTATAGGCTAGGCAGGGTTACACTTCAGTGAGTACGACACTTTGTACAGTCATCACTGTACCCTAGCCTCTAGTCACTTTGATTCTCTCGACATGGTATCATGTTAGGTTCGGTAGCTTCCGCTCACCTTCCTACTTGCTTCCACTCACCTTGCTAGTCTGTTCTAACTTAGGTCCTATTCTAGCGCTCTGCTGCCCTGTTACATAGCGCTCCCCAGTGCCCCGTCGCCTAACTCGCCTCGCTGCCCTGTCGCCTAACAAGATTACTGTTGCCAGCACAGGTGTGACGGCTGCAGACGTGTTGATTTCCTTCATGCTTGAATCCGGCGCCTCCCGGTGTTTCTTCCACAACCACACGAGCCTCGCACCTCTTCGAGCTCTTGTCGCAGTTGAGCTGGTTGACTCGTCCTCTGGACCGGTCGTTGCGCTCAGCACTACTATACTATGCTCACATGTCCGGCTGACCTCTCTGGCTTCCTTACGGGTCTGCACGTCCCTTCATTCTCTAAGAACTTGGTCGGTGTAGGTCATCTCCAGGACTGGGTGTCACCATCATGTTTCCTAGGCACAAGCTGTTTGCGACCTTTACGGACTCTACCACTGGGGCTCATCTTGTTAAGTTCTCTCGGGAGTCTGGGTCAGGTCTCTTCTCACTGTGCACTGCATCCATCCCGGTGTCTGCATCTAGTCAGGTGGCTGCGTCCTGCTCGCCTCGGTCCCTCACCCACCCGTCGCTCCTATGGCACCACTGTCTAAGTCTCCATTCCCTTCCATGCCTGCGTCAGATAGTTTCTCATCGTCTTGTCTCAGGTCTCCCTGAGTCGCTTGCCGTGCTTCCTCCCTCATTTGCGCTGCCGTGCACTCCCTGCATCGAGGACCGGCAGCACGCTGCTCCTCACTCCTCCTCGCTGTCTCGCGCCACTGAGCTTCTTTAGACCCTGCACTTGGACCTCTAGGGCTCTGCCCCAGTTGCTGGAACTCGTGGGGAGCACTACATTCTGGTAGTCGTGGACAAGTTTTACTGCTAAACCACGGTGGTTTCCTTGGAGTGGAAGGCTAGAGAAAAAATGGAATGGTACAAATGGTAGAATGGTAGTGAAGTGGGAGGAGAAGGTAAGAAGATGCTACATGAGAGTGGAAATAAATCTAACATTCCTAGGAAGCGGCAAGGCAGTAGGAGATCCATACAATGAGGTTGATCCAATACATCCATTGCCAGTAAGCGGAGATGTTATGTGGAGTGTGTGACGGTTATAAATAATAAGGACAGCAGGAGAGGGAAAAGGGGGTCATTTTAGTGGGTTGATCAAACCCAGCCAGCCATTTCCTTTCCATAGCTCACAGGGATTCTCGTTTGAGCACTTAGGAAATAGAGATCATAGAGTACAGCACTCGCTGGCAGCGGAGGTTCTAGAAGTGGATGAAGGCAGATGGAAACATATCCAGACCGTCATCTGGGGTGATGCCACTCGCCATGCCATAACACGCGGAGTAGAGCAGCTTGAGGAACTGTA